ATGCGAGACAATGACCAACACAAAGCAGGGGGGGTTCTCTCCGTCTCATACCTTGCTGCATATATGTGTGAAACCCACCGGGATCAAGCAACGTGATCGCGTCCCCCTAGTACTCACATACCACCCTCGAAACATCCCGGTACGTAATGTTCTTCTCAAACATTTTCGTACACTCGGGGAGCGCCCCAGATGTAACACCTTCCCCTACATAGTTAACAACCCGTCGGTCGCCAGGCCCCCGGTAAAACAGAGTACGCGGGAATCACACATGCATTACCAGTAATGTGGTTTCTTGCCTTACGTGTCGTCGCTGTAGTAAACTGTACGTCGGAGAGACCAAGCGTCGCCTTGGTGACCGCTTCGCGGAACACTTGCTCAGTGTGCGCCAACAAACGTCCCGTCTCACTGTCACGCAGCACTTTTGCGCACTGCCGCATATTCTCGGTGACGTGAGCGTCTGCATCGTGCGGAAAGCGTTTTTGTTTTAAATTAAGCCATGGAAAAAACCGAAAAACAAAGGTCAGTGGCTATTAAAAGTCAATCAATCAACATTATTGAACAATCAATAATTAACAGCCCCAAGAAGTTGTTTTTGAGTGGCTTTCGCACTTGAATGCAGTTGCGCATCCAGCGGGAGGGGGGCAGGAGACAACTTGCCCCCCACATGATTTTTAATTTAAAAAAATACTTCGTAGGTAAGAAAACAGTACGTATATTTATTTATCTAATCCCTAAGAAACCAACACCGTGAAATAAAAGCAAGGATGTAGGGACCGTAAGGCTTTGATGTTTTCTCCCCAAACATCAGATTGAATGAGCCTGAAGGCACATTCGCTGCTGAATTTGCCCCTCTTGACACCAAAAGGTGCATACGCAGCTGCTTGAATGGGTGATTTAATCTTGTTATGATACGTTTCCTTCCTTACGCTAATCAGAGAGTGCACTTTACCCACAGTGAATCGCAAATGTCATTTCGCCACCTGCAGGTTTGACTGGGTTTTCCGTCTCGTCAGATCGTCAGCATGCAGCATTAATTTTTTGTATTAACGTAGTCGACATTAGTTAGTTAGGGTCTGAAGCTGGGCTAATCTGGTCCCAATAAAGACTTTGTACCCGCAGGTGTCCGACTTCAGGTCAGGGCAGTCTCAAAATCAATCTAGAGAACTGTATCCTATGGGTAGAATCAGCTCTTGCTGAAGGAGACTGGACTGTTGCGCTCCGGCCAAGGCAGCCTAGAGTTCAAGGAGGTGAGACAGAAGACCATGTAACAAGTAAATGTATATTAAGTCTAAATCAAAATATAAAAGGACTAACAAAGCACGAAATTACAAAACTCATTTACCTTGACACATTGAAATATATGTGCTTAACGTTACCGGACAAAACCAACAGAAAAGGCCTCTTATTTCCGACACCTGCACATCGTACCAATTTAACAATCGATGTATTCAATAGAAAAATGCTTATATTTATAATCATTGAGAATATAATCAAAATACATTATTCACTAGAATGATTTTATGTAGCTTTAATGTGATAAAATTACATAATTACAGTCAAATAGAAATTTGAAATAATAAAAACCTGCAATGCCATAGTAAAATGGGGAATAAATGGTTAAAACACCAGCAGGAAATTTATAGATGATGATTAATGCCAAAATCAACATGAATTTACAATCCAAAGCAATTATATTTGCGCTCATGGTATATAGAGAAGGGTACATGACTAAAGTCTAACAAATAAGCAAGCATTTCCAATTTACAGCAGTATGCAGTTTCACAACTCACAATATATTACCGTACCTTTCATTAAAGGCGTTTTTACAGGACTTGTACCACAAGCAATGAGGTTTCTTGTTTCTTGTGAAATGAAAAAATACCTATTCATTCGCAATGCATTTCACATGACAAAACGTAATGAATGCATTGGTTATACGACAATAAAAGCTGCAAGAAATGAAATTATGTATTTCATACACAGTGAGCTTAAGCAATGTGTAAGAACACTGAAAACCTCCTCCCACCCACACAAAAAGCTGAACTGGATCACGCTCCCAAAAGATGGGCTGTGATTCGTGAAGCCAAGAACCTCTGAACAAACTTTAAATCCTAACGCAACAAACCCACGATAACAAAGTTCAAAACTTAGTAGTGTCCGCACGACATGGTTGTTGGTGCAGGAATTTACCTGCAACCCCCTGCACGTGTTTTACATTGGATCACGCCCCAGAGATGCTCGCGAGCAACTGGTGGCAATGTGATTATGCTTCTGAAGCAGACTTTTGAGGAGCTGCGTGGTTACGGCAAATTGTTTAGCTTACAGAGTAATTAATACATGTAATAAGTCATAAATGAAGTACACCTGTATGATGTCTCTAGCTATCTCCAAGATGTCAGGCTTGGGTTCATCGTGTTCTGCGTCGGCGTGCTGCCGATGTACACCTCAGCCCCCAAATAGAAGCTACATGTATTGCTTCTGTAATTAGAAGACTGGCAAAGGAGAGGTATGTACTCACATAATTTCAGGGCAGGCTTCGCAGAATTAGTTCTCAATTTTTAATGGAGTGTCGATTTTCTTAGCTTCCACCGTCCGGTATTATAAAGTTGCAAAAGTTCAGGTACTTGTCACCTGCTGTAAATATACATAGTGTTTCACCTTTACCTTGTTTCAGGTGATGTCGTGCTTACAGGAACACCTGATGGATTTGACAAGAGATTGTCGTGCAAGGATTGGGTGCATGTGCATCCATGACCAAGCAGTTATGCAAGGCAAAGCATACCGGTATTTAATAGATCAAGACCAAATGAAACTGCCTCCATTTTAATGAGAGAAATTTTATTCTCGTGGTTTGCTGATGACAACTGCATCCCATTCAACGATAAGCCACACTTCATCTCCACACTTCTTGGAGCAGTGGCTGCTGGCAAGATACTCCATCATAGATCTCTGAAAGCCTTTCGATGCCACCTTGTCGAAGTCCACAACGTGAGAGAAGAAATCCATCAACATTTTACCCTCTGCCGAAGTTTCGCCAAAGCACATGGTGATGTCTATGTGGCAGCGTTGACGAATCTTCTTGTGCGGGATACCTCGGCGTTCCAAAGAGCTCTGCAAGTCGGCTGAGCTGACGTATCTGGGCTGATCTTGCAGGAAGTGATACCACAACTGCGACATCCCACTGTTCTCTGCATGGGCCAAGAAGGCGAGCTTTGTGTGAGGCTTGCACTTTAAATAATTCCTCCCTGACATCAGAAGATCGTTTTATTTTATTTTATTTTCGAAGGAAGACGGTTAGACCCGCGATCGCCTCTCAAAATGAAGGGTGTGATGGTTAGCAAAGCTGTCACACCTTCTGTACATTTACGTGTAACACATGTCACATCTTCACACCTGTTGTACATGTAAAAATGGATCTGTTACAAAAAAGCTCAAGCGGTTGGACTGCACGCAGGTTGCGATAGAAATTTAAAATTCAGAAACTCTATAAAACAATTACTGTATCCAAGCCCACTCTCTGTGTCTCTTGTATTGAACTTAACAGATCGTGCTCAGATATCGGCGACTCATATTTGATTCCTGGATAACTTCTTGACCCCATAATTATGACTCATCAAGTCACACAATGTAGTGACTCGTTGCAAAACTGGACATTACCTGACTCTAAGACAACAAGCAGTACTCCGCCTGGCTCCAGACAGTCGTAGAGATACATTAAAGAGCTCTTTTCTACATAGTACAGGGTGTGGATCGCGCTGACGAAGTGAAATTTGGTCAAATCTCCCTCTTTCTGATATTGCTCTATCGTCTGCTGTCGCCAGTGGTGATCTACGCCTGGCAGTTCATGGGCCTTAGACAGAGCTAATGCCTTGTACTGGCGTAATTGCTCTGAAAAGGGCTCAACTACACGGTTGTTGATGCGTGGGAAATGATGCAAGAGCCTCTTCAGTATCGTGTAGTCTACACTCCCTGACAGTTAAAAAGTAGAGTGGAAAGTTATGGCATGCATTCCACATGAGTTTTTAGTTAATTAGGAAATGTTCAAAATATATATGTGGGGTGGTGGTAGTGGTGGTGGTGGTGGTGAAGACGTGATTTCTTCCAAATGCTTTTTTCAGGGAGGTTGTTTTTCTTGAAAAGAAATTGTTGCTATTAAAAAATACTACCTTCTTTGGTGGTCTTGAAGACTTGTTCTAAATACGCCAATGCGACATTTTCTCGTTTGCTCCTCATTTTTTTGTGCCATTATTAAGCCTATTTCGTAGCAACTAATTTTCCACGACTGCATATCTGTTATCGATAGATATCATTATGATGCGTGTCTATCAAAATTTCAGCCCCTCAATGTGATGATTTCTATTATTCATCTTCAAATGAATTGAAGTTGTTTGTTGAAATCTACTTAGAGACAGCTCTGAACCATTTTGTCAAATCTCAAATTTTATTATCTGCCGTTTTCTGATGACTGATAAACCACTACAAAGGAAAAGGGAACGAGACACTGCTAAGGTGATTTTCGACTGATACACCACACGACTAAAGTTGTGTGAGAACAGAAATGCAGAGTTGTAATAGCTCGAGTAAATGACTCAGTCACGATTTTTGAGACTACCCAACCGGAGTCCCAAGGGGTATTGACTTGACTTGATTCCCTGAGAGCAAGTGACTCGGCTCGACTCGAGTCCCTCATCAGAGGACCCGACTCAAGTGAAAGTTAATAAGACTCGAGTCCCGAAATGAAAGCAAAGCAAAACACTGCAGTGAGTAACACTGCTGGTTTGTAATGTTCATGTCACGTGATACATGTATTATAATCAAGAATAAAATGTGGTGCGACTACATGTAGAAACCCAGAGGTAAATTTAAATATGCTAAAAATGACTTCCTCTCTTGTTTTTATTTATTGTATTGTCCCTTCAAACATTGGGGACTCGAAATGACTCGAGCTAAATCCTAACCATTCGAGTCACACTGTACGTTACAATGATTCGACTGGAGTCACAAAAATTAGTGTCTCGTTACAACTCCGCCAAAAAATGTTGAGGAGTCCTACAGATGAGGATTGCCATTCTTACCATCTCCGCTGCCAACTCCCAGTATACGTAGTTCCTCTTGTCTGCCCATAACAGCCTGGAGTTTATCGACGACAGCCTCACTCAGCACACCGTCCACCCAAGCTGTGTACTTGCTAAACTTCAAAATCGAGGTCTTGTAGGCGTTGAACGATTTCAGGTAGTGGTCTGGGCTTTTCAACAGATCCGGCAGCGATTTCCATTCCATCTCGGCTTCTCTGATCTTTGGGCCATTTTCCATAGACCAATTTAAAGGAAAAAAATGCAAGCGTGCAGTCAGAAGATCTTAGTCACAATGTAAAAGCAATTGACTGCCTTCAAAACTCAGCCATACTGAAATGAAAGCGAGGTTAACTTTTTCGGGGGGGGGAACCTGAGAATAAAAAGAAAGCAATAAAATTAAAGTTCATTATAGATTAACTTAATTAATCACGATGAATACTTTAAAATTTGTGATTTATTATATCTAAACCTAATGTTTTAAGTAAACTTTTTTTAAAGTCTACATGGGACCACCCTATGACAGATTACACGAATCCAGATAGATTAAGGGAAACTGATTGAAAATGGCTTCCTTGGGTCTAGGTCTACAGAGCCGATTTTAAATTCACTATCGTGCAGGCAGTTGGGGGTGCCCAGTGCGACCCCGGCCCCACTCTGAATCTGCGAGTGTGAATAGTGTTGCAGTGTGTGGGAAAAATCTAAATTATTGTTCTAATCGTTGCATAAAATACCTAAAATGTCACTATTCTATGCAGCAAAAACGATCTCTTCGTTGTACCAAGAAAGTTCTATGCATTTTTATACTGCTGTAACAAAATGAACAAAGCGAGTAATTTCCCGTGCAAAATGTATTGAGGGTTGCCCCTTGGACAGGACACGCGGCAGCCTCATAATCTCGAGAACGACTAAACGTGATAGCACGGTGGCGCGTCGTAATGATCGATCAATCGCGCAATTTAGTCGTCATACCGGAAACATACGCCATCAAGTGTTAAATACTTGAGGGCGCGCGCTTTTTAATTAATTAAAACAATTGCTTTGGTCACACATATTTTGCAGTAAAATTAGAGTTATAAATTACATTTTCCCAGTTCTTTCTGAACAAACCTGATGGAAACCCTCTCAGGCAGGGCTGCAACTGCATGTTTTAAAAGTCCTTTTGGAGGGCGTGGGGCTCGTATTAGGGTGAGGGGAGGCACTTTGCACCTTGGACCCATAAATGACATTTCCACGCTTCTCTCTGAAGACAACACGAGCCAACGGATGTCAATAGGCACCGCAGGATGTGTGTTTGGGCATTCTGGGTTTTTTCCCATCCATGCAGCTTGCGCCAGATCACTCTCACATGTCTCAGCAGGTGGTCTCAGCTTACCACTACCAGGCCAGGCCTGCCCAATAATAACAAGGTCAGACAGAGGGCAGTAAACTATCCGTTATGGCGTCAGCAATACAGCTCCGGCACGCTGATGATCCAAAACAGTATTTCATTGGTCTAAATTTAATGGCCTGATTCACAAGGCAGAGGGTAATTTCTTCACAATTTTGTGCAGTGGGGATTGTGTATGCAGCCACATGCTAAGATATTGGACAGGGGATGTTTCAGGCTGGCTTCAGTGACTGCCTGGGTGATCCCAAGATTGAACCCCCGTCCAAGAGTAGCAGCACGGGGATTTAGGAGAAGTCACGGGGGCTCGAATGGGTCACGTGCAGCATTTGGAAAAACAATCCCATCTCGTGACTTGTGACACGAGGCTGTCCCGCCTTTTACACGGGAGAAAGGTGCAGTAAACTCATTCAAGCCCATTGAAAACAGTACAATACCAACAAAGTTCAGGCCTCGATAACAAACAAGCCGACATTAGCGGAGTTTCGAAAAGAAACATTACATTGTTGTCTTGACCCAAGTTTTTCCATTTCTTTTTATTTTTTGGTTTGTTACCCAATTACATTTGTAATTATTCGCGTAAAACAGACCTACCCCTCGAAAAGTGGAAGTTCTCAAGTCTGCTCGCAGCCATTTTTCAAATGCCTTCTACCTTCTGGGGCACTAAGGACTGTGTTCCATAAGTAATAATGTACCCAGGGATTTGATCCTGGCCTTTTTTCCACAATTTTTCCATTTTTCACAGCCAAACAATCTCCTTTCTCTGTGTAGGCACTTTTTATGCTATTGGGCGATAGAAATTGTTCACTTGAATTTGTTCTCTGCACAATACAATAGATGGTGTTAAAGGAACACCAAATAACACCAAATTTGTAACACCTGTGAAAGTGTTAGTGTAGTCCTCTGATAACACTTGGGGTGGTAAATTTAACACCCCAGTTTTTGCAGTGTATAGGGTTACGTTTCGTTCAGGGTTCAGGTTGGAACTAGGGCTAGCCAGTCTCGAAGTCTGATTATCAACACCACATGCACTTGACTGAGGCTTCATCCCTTCTACAGGCTTTCGTTTACTTTGCTTTCTGGCAGTGTAAATATTTAGGCTAATGGTTGCATGTGGGGCAGTGTTGTTGACTCGAGTCGCTGACTTGGACTCGAGTCGGATTCGAGTCGCTATTGTTTAGACTCGAGACTTGACTTGACTTGAAAACAAAAGACTCGAGAATTGACTCCACTTGAAAAAAATGACTTGTTGACATGAAATCTTTTCTTAAAATAAATAAAAATACAAACTAACAAAAGAAGCACGCGTGGCGTCGCGTTGCCTTCCTCCGCTGGCACCACCACACATCATGCATATGACATGCATGACGCTTACTAGTGCAGACGTGGGTGAGTGGTTAAGACGTCTGCACTAGTAAGCAGGAGGTCCTGGGCTCGAGTCCCACCCGAGTAAGCTTGGGAATTTTTTTCGCAAGCTCTCAGACAAACACTGCGCATACAGTGTTTATTAATACGTTGGGTAAGGGCAAAACCCGTTATATAAAATAACATCTCCCCAACGCAAAAATACATCTTGAAAATAGTTTAGATTTACAATAAATTGACCTGTAATGAATAAGCTTATGTGGTGACGTATATAGGAATAATCACAAACATACAAAGTGCAGCATGTTCATGGACTTAAGCCATTGACAAAATTGTAAGGTTCATGGAATAAATTATAAGGTATGGATAAAACCGATAAAAGTTATAAGGTATGGGCAAACGGAGTAAAGTTACAAGATAGGGCTAATATGAAGTAAACTTATGAGATACAGGCAAAATGGGGAAAAGTTGGGGCACCGTGCAACAGAGTTCACCTGTGTAAAGAATATACAGTGAAACCATTCATAAATATGTAATAGTCATCAAGACTAACTTGAAGCAATCGTTGTGCTTCCTGTACAAGTCACATGCCAAACTTTTCAACACAATTTTCACTACAACGCAACGAACAAAATCCCTTCAAATGACACTTTTTGGCCTGATTTGGAGCCCACACTTGGCCCACGTGTACTGCTATAGTATATCTGTCAATATGAACAGGCCAAAGCTGTGCATAAATATGAAAGAAAGATAAAAAATGCAAAAGTTCAGAGCAAAAGTGAACTTACGTTCTGCCACCGAATAAACTAATGCTAGAGAAAGGCAGATTGTCACGTGCGCCACGGCGAAGTACATCGCGTACGTATAAAAAATTAGGCCCTAGTCTGACACAAAATAACAGTCTAAAGCCCCTTGTTGCACACTCATATAAATGAGAATACTGTTAACTTATAATTAAGACCATGAAAAACCACTAGGAATACTTTATAGCTAAAATGCGAGAATTTGGATAAAATATTGGGATTATTTTCAGCCTACACTTAAATTTGGCGAGAAAAGGCGTGGTGCGGTTTTGATATAAAACATAGACTTGCCAAAGTCTGACCACTACATTAGCATCCACTAGAAACATTTTCTCTACCTGGTGAGGAGTGTTGCCTTTAATAATGTATTTTCTAATGGTTCAAAATCCATAAAACTGTCTCCTGACATTTGTTTTTGACTTTCAAGCCCTGCTAAATCTAACATTAGCCAAACAAAGAAGTTTCACATCCCTGCCGCCTGGACTGCATGGAGGCCACCATTTTGAAATATAGGGTGCAGTGAACTAATTCAAGCTACTGAATAGTCAGGAAGGTGTTTCCTTGTTGACACTGGCGCAGAATTCAGTGTGTTGCCACTCACTCCTTAAGACTGTTCTCACCTTTCCAACAAATACAACCTTCAGGCTGTCAACAGGTCACCCATAGCGACTTCCGGCGAACGCTCGCTCACCCTGGACATTGGTAAATGTAAAACATATCATGATAGACTAATCGACACAATGATCAGCCTAAACGTGCAAGGCATCAGCACGCACATCGACTCCCCTACGTCCCATGACTACCGTACCCGACGAGAATCGATATAGCTACAGTGCATTGCCCCACCGATTTGCTGGCAGGAAAACCCAAGAATTCCAAGACACCTCTACAGTTACCACCAGAAGAATTAGAGTCTTTTGCAGCGGTTATATCTGCCCTGGCAGAGGCTACTCTGTTGGTTCACCTTCATTGACGCCCCATTGTGCCTAATGATTGCCTAATGATCGGTGTTGCTGTTGGCTGCGTACTCCAACAAGAGATCCATGGCGAATAGAAACTCATGGCATTCTTCTCAAAGAAACTGCAGCCAGGGGAAACCAAGTACAGTACGTTCGGAAGAGTTGCTGGCTGCATATCTTACCATCCGGCACTTTTGCTGTGCCATCAATGGTCAGAAGATTCTTCATACTGACTGACCACAAACCGTTAGCTCATGCGTTCCACTCCGGTGCGGATCGGACAGGTACTCGCCACGCGAAGTCCGACACCTCGATTTCATATCGCAGTTTACCACCGGCATTAGACACGTTAAGGGACCTAAAGACGAAGTTGCTGACGCGCTGTCCCACATTAACATGGCATCACTACCATCGCCTGAGACCATACTCGACTTCGAAACATCAATGGCCAAGCAACAGCTCACAGACGACAACTACTTAAGACCGTTCTGCCTTGCAGTTGAGAGACATACCACTTGCTACTAGCAACGGCACAATCGAATGTGATGTGACTACTGGTGTACCTAGTCTAAAACCAAGTCCTTTCAACGTGCAGTTTTCGAATTGCTACACTCGCTTTCACACCCAGGCATCCGAGCCGTCCTCAAACTGTTCAGCATCCGTTATGTGTGACCCAATATGAACCACGAAGTCAGACACTAGTGCAAAA